ATTAAATTAAATTAAATATAACTGGGGCTGCGGGGTTTGTAGACGTGCTGGGCTGTAAAGGCTTGGTAGATCTAAGAGAAGGCGGCGTTATCCTAAATGGAGCTGTGCTACCTTTCTTCTGGGTCGGAGTCTGATTCACTTTTGGTGTCTCACCGTTCTGACGCCAAGCCACGAGTGACTTAACTGTAGAGCTTGCAGCACCAGTTGGACAGGGGAAGTTATTGGTCTAACTGATGTAGACGGATTTTCATGTGTTCCATCGGGGCTATTCGGAGGATAAGGAACGAAAATAGGTCTGCTGCTGCTGCTAAGTTAGGGGCAAGTGAATATGTCAAGTGGCCTGAGTGAGCTGGAGATGTAGGAATAAGAGAAGGAGGGGGCCAGATCGCGCAGCAGTAGGATAATAGTGAAGCCTTACGGCCACTTGTATTATGACCGATTTGGTGAGCAAAAGTCTGAGAGACAGTGGGTTTACGTGAGAAGAGATACCCAATTCTACGGTCCATGGGAGAATGGTCATGACAAATGAAAAGTTTTGCATTTTCCAGGTACGCAATGACAAGCTCTCGATGGGCAAAGATTGTGTCAAACTCGATTGATGAAAATAGTTTGACTAAGAGGGGTGGATTTTTGCTACGGGAGGACATGCGTTTGGCATCGGCTAGTTTGTAGTTGAAACCTCCCGGTTACAGGAAATTGGCCGCAACATCCATCGGCCGAGCAGATCGAGGAAATTTTTCAATAAAAGTTGTAAGCTCGCTTTTGTCTTTCATTAGGTTCGCTGGCGATCAGGTGAAAAATTGAGTCAAGACGCCTACATTATTGAGAGGTAAAATTGGAGATATTCCCGTCGAATAATTTTCCAAGAATTTACAGCAGAGTGCAAATTTTAGCATAAACTCATTGCAGTTGTCAGGTGCGGACAGATTAAGCTGCCTACCATTTACAGCGGGTGACGACGGACTAGTAATACCGTCGGAATTGATTTTGGTAAGACTTCTGAATTGGACTTAGTTAAGCATTCCGAATTAGATTTAGTTAAGTCATGCTTACGTTCAGAGGCCGAGAGCTTTTGCCGACCTGCGACTTTTAATCTCATCTTGTCTCGAGGAAACTTGTAATTAAGAAAACTTTTGAAAGACTAGGTGACTGAGTTTCAGCTAGAGACTAATAATGTAAAAGTAAATCACATGGTTAGAGAGAAACCGAATGCACAAATTCGAATAGCAGAATGCGACTAGTTATCAACAGGCAGAGACTAGCAGAACTCAAAAAGGAAATGTTAACAGGTAGTTCTGAGTGAATAGGCATCTGTTTGAGAAAATTTAAATAAAAATCAGGAGATAAATCGTTAGGTCTCTCAGAAAAACCACTTAAAATTATATCTTCCACTTACCTCCAAATTTAAGACTAGCGTTGCCATCCGTGGATATGGTTAACTCAAAAATCCCTTTAGTCCACGTAGAACCGCTTGACTCCTTAATCGCCCAAAACTACGCCATTGACAGTCATCACAGAACATCAGCCAATGAAACTCTCTATCAGTTGTTATATGGCTACATAAGCAGCGCTCCTGAAAAGTCATTGAATAAGCGTTTTAAGTTATTAGAGTATCAAGAACTGAAACCGCGAACAAAGTAAAACGCGAGCATAATTTTGTACTGCGAAACAGTTCGAGTCACTTATCTGCTTCACATGGAGCACATTTCTTCCCGCAAAGTTGTGGCTTGGGTTTCAGTGTCGCACAAGCCAAACGACTGCGCTCGCTCAGCCGTAATGCGTCGATACTAGTTACTCTTTTCTCCATGATAGAAGCCGATTTTATCTTGTAGAGGAGGAAGATAATCAGATAATTTTGCTAAAAATGGTATTGCACAGCTTTGGTTGACTTCATCCCAATGCAGCGAACACTGAACAAATAAAAATTGTCAAAAACTAACACCGACATACTGATGCCAACTGTCAGTTAACTTAATCCTCGGTGGCCTCTCAACGGGACGGCATATTTACTTCAGTAGGGAATTCGACTACTCCATGTACTGAGATCTTTAAACGCATCAACACACCTGGTATAAAAATGCCCCTAACGACTCCTCCAGTAACCCTTATCATGCCTAAGCATGTACCTAAATCGAAGGCGAATATAAATGCTGTCTCGGCCATTCGGACACCTGGTAAATCCAGCTCCATTGTAAAACGTTATTTTCCTTAATCGCCTTGCACTGTCTCAAACACCACGGTCCAAAACGTGCGTGATTCCAACTACCCCCCAGCCCTCATATCGAGGCAGTTAGGCCGAATATGCCGAAATTCCCGCCTTTTATTAGAATTCTTGCTCCAATGGTAGCAATACATCTCCCAACCCTATCGTTTTCCTCCACAACTGTCTTACCAACGCATTTATCATGCTAACGTCCATACTGGATCACGTAACTCATCCGCTTCTCTGTCTCCTTCCGGCGGGAATACGTTACAGTATCCGGCTCGCGGATTTCTAGCTAAAAATGAGCTAGCCAACAATTGTCACCAGTCTCTCCTTCCATCATTTTCTCCCCCAAGTCCTATTCCTTTTTATTCGTGTCAGAATCATTTAATGCCAAAAAAATGTTTTGCAAAACATGGTGGGTGCATCCGGACAGCATGGTACATGGCCAGCCAAGCACTAGACGACTTAGCCTACCTTCCTCAGAAACAAACAGCCTTTCCCCCAAAAAATTGTTTTAGGTGCCAGATCCCCGCTAAATATTATGCCTTTGCTTCAGACTCTGGTGTTCGTCAATTGTCCACATATTGTTTTAGAAAGTGAGACATGGGCATCAGCTTCCCTAGCTGACTCCGAACTGTCTCTTCTCGGCTACGCGTGCACCCAAAATGATCGTCAGAACAGCCGTAATGGGGGCAGTTGCGTCTACGTTAAGCGAACATTTACATTTCTGCCGCTGGGCATTCCGCATTTATCTGCGGTAGAAGGCAGCTGCTCGCTCCAAGTTGCACTAAAAAATAAGTTCCCTTTTCTTGTTGGCTGTGTCTATCGCCTTTCCAACTTCAACGACAATTTTGATCATTTACTCTCACAGGCATTTCATGCTGTGGCCGACTTAAGCTTTTAGTATTTATTGGTTGATGGTGACTTCATTCTTCTTATGTCCGCTGGTCTCCGCCGTCCGGCCCCAAGAATTTCGAAGACAATCTTGAGACGGTGAATGTTGGGATGTGGAGTCAGGTTGCGGCTTTTTCCACCAAAGGATGTAACATATTAACTTTAAGTTCTGTAGAGGCTGCATACCTGTGTCAGTGTCATCCCTAGGTCTGCTCGGGGGTTCAGTACATGACATAGTTGTTTCAAAGTTAAAACTCAAGGCTGACAAAACATCGCCTTAAAAGCATAGTTTTTTTCCGCGTTTTTCAACCAGCTCGCACGACCGAATTATTAACACACCTTAATTCCCACTATTGGACTGATTTTCTTTCTAAGTTTCTAGGTTCAGTAAAATAATTTTTGCCGACGACGTTAAGCTCTGGCAAGTCATTAGGGATCCGAATGATGAGAGATCCCCTCAAGACAATCTGCACCGACTGCAAGCGTGGTCGGAGAAATGTCTTCTACATTTCAATATGGAGAAATGTGCCGCCCTTCATCTACGCCCAACCAACTCTCATTCAGATGAGAGCCTGAGGACATATTACCTGAAAAATATAAGGCTCCCGGTAGAATTTTCACAGACGGATTTCAAAGTTTGGATACAGAACAACCTGAAACTATCACTGCGGTGACACAAGGCCGCAAAAAACGCCCTGGGAGTGCTCCATGCAATCAAAAGGGCGTTTGTAGCCTTTGACCAAAATCTTTTTGGAATAGTTCACGGCATCTTTGTCCGGCCACACTTAGAGTATGGCATACAAGCGTGGCGGCCATGGCTAGTTAAGGACCACGCATGCCTCGAACGGGTGCAACGTCGTGCAACAAAGCTGGTAAGCGGTCTAAAAAGCAAACCCTACACAGACAGACTGAATTGCCTTAATTTATTCCCTCTGTGTTACAGGCAGCAGAGAGGTGATCTTATCCTCGTCTACAAGATGATGCATGGCCTTTAGCGTGGACTTAAATTTAAGGACATGTTCCAGTGGCATAGTTCACCCAATCTTCGTGGTCATACGATGAAGATACGGACAAAAATGTCCAGGCTGAATATTCGTTCTGAATTTTTCCCGCATAGGGTAGTGGAGAAATGGAACGATCTCCCTCAGTCAGTCGTGGAGGCGACGTCGACCGGTGCCAAATAAGCGGCCACAGGTCTTCCATTACGGCTACCTTACGTACTATTGTTTGTTCAGTAGGTGTGCTTGTGGTATTTTTTTGCCGCGGCGGCAAAAAAATACCACAAGCACACCTACTGAACAAGCAATAGTACGTAAGGTAGCCGTAATGGAAGACCTGTGGCCTCCACGGCCAGAAAGAAACATTCAAACACACCTAGCAACCCGACTCCGTAGGGTTTACGTGGAGTTCCCATACCCTGTTGCCTAAAATTTATGTCCAATCTACAATGCCACTTTTATGCATTTACGCACACAAACTTCTCCTATTCTAAACCACCTCTGGGCAGTTCCCATGCGCTGCAGTTGCGCTGTTAACTGCCCGTTTGCCGGTTTCGTGGTTTACGTAGTGTTTCCCGTCATCATCT